AATAATAAAATATATACACATATTGATGAAAATACCTTAAAAAGAGAAGTTAATTTTGAAAAACAGTGGAGGGGTAATGATACCCGCATGCAAAACAACTTAGGTTTAACACCAAGAAATAATCGGTATGTCACTTAATATAATGTTTAAAGGGGTTATGTCAATACCTCATTTTGTTTTTCTTTCTCTTAATTTGGAAAAAAATGAGGCTTATTTTTAAGGTAATAATGCCTTAATCTGAAAAAAGAATGGGTGAGAAGTTCATAATATGGCTCATTTTACTGAATTTCCTAAAAATAAAATTTTAGTTTGCAAAAAGTCTTATAAAAGGAGTCACTTAATTAACAAAGGTTTTCTTTTGAAGAATGCACCTAAAAAAGCCCCAGGGGACATTTTGTTTCTTAGCACAAATTCCAAATTTGCCAGCTCAGTATTTGAAGAGGGCCGCCGTTACTTTAGTCCTCTATTCCCAGAATACTGTCCCCAGAAAATACCCTCTGTGGAAACAACACAGCCTCATCTGCAGTCCCATAAATAACAGAATTTGATCCTTTACTTCTCAACGTCACTGCCCCCAAACCGCAAGCTCTCCAGTCATCCTAAGGCCTACGTTTGCCTTAGTTTTAGCAAAAAGCAACATCTCGCCCAGGACAGTAAGATGATTTGAGACGCGCCGACACGCTGTACTTCGTAAAACTTTGCAGCGGGTAAGTCAAAGTGGGCACCGCGGCGCCGGGCACGTAAACGTTCCATGAAGTCGTAAGATGACTGCAGCCTCACAGCAGCGGCACGAGTTTCTGGTGGCCTCGGATGGAGGGCCGGTTGCTAACTCCTAACACTTCCCAAACTTTTAAACTGACATACCCCCATTAGCCGGAGTTGACGAACGTAAACCCCTGAGAGCCTCGAAAGGCTTAACCCACCAAAAAATCCGTCACTTCCAACTTTACATGTTAAAGGGCGGAACAATGTTGCGTGCTAGCCTATTCCCGGGTTCTTTTATTGCAAAAACGGAAGCAACGGCTCACCCTGGAGGGGAACGGAGCCCCCGCGACGCTGCGCCATGTTCTCTGCGGGCCGGGGCCCCAGCGCCCGCTTCCCGCCGGGTCTGTGTGCGTCACCGTCCGCGGGGCGCAGGACCCGCGACACTCCGGTCCCTGCCCGCCTCACGTGACGGCCAGGCCCGCAGCGCCCGGCACGCCTCCCGGAGCCCGAGGCGCTCCACCGCCTCTCCGCCGTGCGCCCCGCCGCGGCCGCTTACCTGTACCCCCAGGTGGGCAGCAGGGCCTGGCTCAGGTGCGCACGCAGCTGCCCCAGGGTGGGCTCCGTTTCTGGCATCTCCAGCGGCCAGGTCCGCTTCTGAAGCCGCACCCGCAGCTTCATGGCGGCCTCGAACCAGAGGCGGCGACAGTGACGACGGCGCGGCCGGACAACTCCCACCTCAAGCGGCGGCGGCCCCAAAACGGCGACGACCGGGACTGGAGGGGTGCTGAGGTGTAACGGAGAGAAGGTCCCCCCCTCCCCCCACGGCGGCCGCGCTGCGGGCGGGCCTGTGGAACCGGAACACTCAGCCCCTCTCTTGAGGGCGCCCCCTGGAGCCCACCACGCGAGCGGGCGGCTGGCTGCCTGCGCAGAGCCGGGGAGCTCGGGAGCTTGGCGATCGACGACTCGGCGCTCAACGGCGCCACCTGGGAGCTCGAGGAGCCCGCTGCGCAGGCGCTGAGGCTGCCGCGGGGTGTGTGGGTGGCGCGGCTCCTCCACTCCTCGGCGGTGCCCTCTCCTTCCAGGTGTACCTGGGGAATGTTAACCCTGAAAGGGATGCTGCAGATGACACACCTCGCCTCTCCGCAGGGTTAAGGTGTGCCTGGTTCTTACCCCATTGCCTCCGTGGCACTCAGCTCCTGCGGCATCTGCTCTGAGAAGCCTTAGGTTGCGTTCAGGCTCTGGGCATTTGCTCCTGTTCCAGCAAAATGTGAAACAGCTTGTGGTCAGTGATCTACGTCGGAGAGTATATTAGTATCCTGTTGCTGCATAACAGTCACCCCAAAGCTTGACAGCTTAAAACAACAAGCATTGATTGCTCCATAGTTTCTGCAGGTCAGGAATTTGGGCCAGGCTTGGCTGGGTGGTTCTGTGTTGGTCTCGCATGAGATTACAGGCAAGATGTAGGCCAAGTCTGCAGTTATCTGGAGTCGTGACTGTCACTGGAGGATCTACTGCTCGTTCACGACTGTTGGCAGGAGACGTTATTTATCCACTGCATGGACCTCCGTATATGGCCACTTGAGTGTCCCCATGACATGGCATCTGGCTTCCCTCAGAGCAAGTGGCCCCCAAGAGACTAAGGCAGAAGCCATAATGTCTTTTATGATCTAGCCTCAGAGGTCACATACCACCACTTCTGTCGTATTCTATGGATCACAAACCAACCGTTCAGCATGGGTGGATCAACCCAAAGGCATGAATGCCAATCGATAGACAGAGATCATAGGGTGCCATCTGGAGAGGCTGACTACCCTATAGGGTCTGACAATAATGATGATGATGATAGCTTAGATGAGGGGGAGAGTATCCAATGTTCATCCCTGTATAATAGCCATTGTCCAAATCTTAAAGAGTTGAATAAAGTTTCTCCCAATAGGTGGCAGTACTTGCCCACATCCTGACCTTCATTCATGAAAGAAACATGTATTGATCACCTTTATGCCAGATATTATCCTAGGTGCTGGGGACTCAAAGATTGAAAAGACATGTTCCTACTGGTACAGTTTACAACTGAGTGAATCAATCCTTGTAGTAGAACGTAAAAAGTGTCTTTGTTTATGAAAGAAATAGGAGAAAGTCTTAGGGATTGGGGGACATTAAGGATGTTTGCTACGCCAGTAGCGTTCTTTAGTGGCAAGCCATATGGGATTGAGGAAAGGTGGCAGGCTCAGGGTGGCTCAGTGTGGCCGGGGTCAAGGACATAGTGAGTACATCCCCAGGTACAAAATAGTCGTGGACTAAGCGAAGGATTTGGGACACATTCTAGAATGTATGGGAAGCTATTGGAGAGTTTTAAGTAGGGGCGTCTTGATCTACCAGGGTTCTTAGATCTGAGCAATAGAAGCTACCTCAGTGACTAAGCAGGAAAAGAACATGTTAACATGATACTGGGTAGCTCGGGGAATTCTGGGGAGCACTGGAGAAGTAGCTCCAGGCTAAGCTTCCAGGAATGACGCTCAGAACCATGCTGAAGAACTGGCCCGATGAGGAAGCTACCACGACTAGGATCACTGCTGCCACCCCACCCCACCCCTCACTGGAGGAGGCCGCAGTCACTGCTGTCACCGCTGGGGAATGGCTGCCACCTTCAAATGCCACACGCTTTTGCAGCCTCCTGCGCTAACAAAATGTCAGGTTTCCCACAGAGGCTTTTCCCTCAACTTGCTCACTTCTAAAGCAAAGGTTGATAAAGCTGTATCTGATTGAGGAAGACCAAGTCCCATGCCTGAGTTTGGCTGCAAAGGAGACTGGAATTCGGGGCCCAAACTCCTTCCCTGGGGAGGTGGGACTTAAAAGATTGGAAGGCTGTTCAAAAGATTGTAGAAAGCCATGAATCTGACAGGTGTACTACAAAGGGCATGCATGGGTCAGATCTGAAACGTGACCCTATCACGGGTAGAGTGTGGGAGGTATATTAATTAGATCAAGGGTTCTCAGCCTCATTCAGCACTACTGGCATTTGAGGCCTCATAAGTCTTTGTTATGGTGGATTATCCTGTATCTTGTAGGATGTTTAGCAGCATCCCCGGTCTCTGTTCACAAAATCCATGTAGAACCCCCATCTCTCAGTTGTGAGAAGCAAAGATGTCTCCAAGCTTTACCAAATATCCCCTAGGAGGCAGAATTGCCTTGAGAACCACTGGATTAGAGACCATCTCTGTTAGGAGGCTCTTTTGGAAACAGAGAAGAAAAAAAATGAGTGGAATGACAGTGGGAATGGAGAGAATGGGATGGACAGGAATGATGTTACAGAGGTAGATATAATAGAACTTGAAAATGACTATGTTTGGAGGCCGTATTAATTAGAATATAGCTTCAGCTGCTCTAACAGAGATCTGAAATAATAGTGACCTAAACAAATGTAAGTTTATTTCTCTCTGAAATAGCATTCTTGGAGAAAGCAGTACAAGGCTCGCATGGTGGCCATCTTTGGAGACCATCTATCACAGTCCACCTCTTAATACTATGTAAGCCTGGATAAGTTACTATCTATAAAAATGAAAAAGTAACAAAAATATATCAGACAGTTGCGTTGTAAAGATACAGTGAAATAACATCTTTTGTTTTAAGCCACTGCATGTGCGGTCATCTGTTCCTACAGTAGAAAACTAACCCACCTGGGATCATTGTCTCAATCCTTGGCCCAATAAGCTGTGAGCACTGGGATAGCAGAAGTAATCCAACCACAGGAGTGCAGGAGGGTCCTGGAAGAGAGCCAGAGCACTCCCAAGAAACTGCCAGGATTTAAAGTACTCTGGAAGACTAGTCTCCAGAACTTCAAAAGTCCACGAGCTTGTTACATACCCCTTCTCTTAACCATCTCCCTCCTTGAGATTTTTTGTTTCTTTTTTGCAGGATGTCACCTTAACGTCTGCAAGCAAAAGGCACTGCAACTTTCAAAGAATTCAGAAGTTTAAATTTCTTTTTTTGGTGGACCGTTTGATAGAATACTACAAAAGGATGATGTCCCTCTTCTGTGGGACTCTATTCACTGGCTTCCTGTATGCTTTTTAGAACAGTTTTAGAGTTAAAGAATTATTGTGAAGACTTATATACTGCATACCCAATTTTTCCTATTCTTAACATTTTAGATTATTATGGTACATTTGTCATAATTAAGGAACCAATATTGACATTTTTATTAACTGAAGTTCCATATTCTATTTCCTTAGTTTTTACCTAATATCCCTTTTCTGTTCCAGGATCCTATCCAGGATACCATATTACATTTAATTGTCATGTTTCCTTGGGCTCCTCTTGGTTGTGACAGTTTCTTAGACTTTCCTTGTATTTTATGACCTTGACAGTTTTGAGGATTAATGGTCAGCTAGTTTGTAAAACGGCCCTCAATTGGGACGTGTCTGATATCTTCTCGTGATTTGACTGAGGTGATGAGCTCCTGGGAGGACAACTGTTGGGAAAGGACCAGGAAGACAGTTTCCAGGCTCTCGGCCTCACGTGGAAAGGTGCTGGCTCGGTTATTTGATGGCCATTAGCTGCTATTGTTTTTCATATAATTGCCTCGGCTGCGTTAGCAAGTGCGGGTGTCGTGGATGGTGCAGATCCTGCGGATCCTACTTCCTGTGTCTCGCCCGGGCCGCCAGTGAGACTGGTGCAGGAAGACCCCTTGTTGGGGTGTTGACGGATGCTCGCTTCTCATATCTCAACCGGCCGACATCGAGAATATAATATAGTGGTATGAACCTCCTATCTGTGGCTCCGGCGTTGTTCCTTTTCGGCCTCACCAAATCCTGCGTTCATCTGCCGGGAGCTGAGCCCCAGCATGAATGACAACAACTCCTTGTGGTGAAGAGCCATTCGCATCACGTCATATCAACAGTACATACTATCGATGCGACTTCTCACTGTTGGTGAGAACCCCGACCAATTGGCTTCTCCACTGTAAAGTTACTCCTTTTTCCTCCTTTTCATATCGTCTGCATTGGGGAAAAGCCACTATCTGCAACCCACACTTAGAGACTGGGAGTTGTGCTCCACCTCCTGAGAGGTGAAGCGACTACATCAATGATTTAAATTTCACCACAGGAGATTTTGTCTAATCTCTGTTTATTCAATCATTTGTTTATATCATTTTTAACTGGGTTGTTTGTTTTCTTAGGGTGAGTTTCCTTTAGTTTTCTGGATAAAAGTTAGTTTTGGTGCTTGAACCAGCTGGAAACCACTTTCTTTAATCTGCCCAGTGACCCCCTACAGTCTGTTTACACTGCACTACTTCAGAATGCCTCATCCCCTTCCCCTTATATCTTCTCCCACCAAGTGGATTTGCATGCCTCTAAGCTACCTGGAATAGCTTTCTACCTGGAATACCTTTCCTTCCTTTTTTCTAAGCAGAGCGTGTTTCTCCTATCCTTTTGCTCCAAGAGCACTGGGAGCCTACTTTTCAGTGTTACCCATCATATCACAGTGCAATTATTTGTACACCAGGCTTTCTCCAGTCCTAGATTATGAGTTTCTCAAGGGGAAAGGACAGGTCTTAGCTATCTTCAACAGCCCGCAATCCCCACGTCCAGTGTCAGGACTGGTTAAGCAAGATTTAAAATGATATATTCGCATTTGTCTCTGAGTTCTTAATATATCTGTTTGGAAAAGTAAGAGCCTCATTCTGTCTCTACCAGGGAAAAGTCAGGTTGGCCTTCGTTTGGGTGTTCTCTTATAAATCCAACTTATTTTCCTGCATCTGAGCTTTTCTCTACATACCAACAGTCCATGATCTTCAGTCTCAGAATCACCTGGTGAGCATTTTAAAAGAGAGATTGCTGAGTCCCGCCTCCCGAGGTCTGGAGAGAGGCTTGAGAATTTGTATTTCTAATGATTTCCAAGTAAAACTACTGTGAAACCTTTGGGAACCACTTGTCTATACCATGTGGTCTTGCTGTGGTTGTTTTGAGCTTTTTTGAAAACACTAAAAAGACTTTGAGGTAGCTGTGCTTGGTGAGAAATTGAAACGGGCCTTCAGAAATGTTGAGTTGAAATGAAAAACATGCAAGTTAGAAAAAGAATC